GAGACCCAATACATGGTGGCTTAATAAATAAATGTCCTGGTGTCAGCTATTGTCTCTCTTCTCCCTCTCGCCCACCGCTCCCTGATTCTCTGCACATGGCTGAGCCACATCCAGGTACTTAGGCCCAGCAAATAACTTAGTGATTCCCCGGGCCTTTTATTTCTGGTATAACTGGTTAACACAGACTGTTTTTTCCATCTGGGAATATGTCTGGGTTGGGCCATGGAATGTATCCAGGAGGCACCTGGGGCCAAAAATGCTATTTAACGAACTATTGGACTTATCTGAGATGTCTCCCAGCCCAATCTGTGGCTCTGTGTTGACACGGTCATCATCTAGTGAATTGCAGAAGATGGATCTAATAGGGTGGAGCCCAGCACAGTTTGATCTTGCAACACAGACAGGACTAAGCTGTGTGTTTGGGAGCTGGTTGAAGGCGGTTTTGTTTACTTGTAATTTAAGAACTTGGCCATTTTCTGGCAATGGAAATATTCACGTAAACATTCTGCTCTTTCACAAATTTTTCATGGAGACTTTTTTCCCCTTATCTTTTGGTTTCCCTTTGTGAGGTTTTCATTTTTGGGGTTCTGTGGGGCAGTTTTCTCTCTGTTCTGTTTGCACTGACAGGTTTACTTGATCTGTTTAGTCATGTGGCAGGAATCTTGTCAAAAGTGGAAAAAAATCATTTTAGAAAATGTCACTTTAAAAAAAAAAATCCTTGGAACATTTCTTTACCCAAAAAAAAAAATAAATCTTGGTCTGTCAAACTGTGATGAAAACAACGTCCACGGCTCTCGTGATCTTTTTTCAAAAAATGTTTTAACCAGCTCTAGTGTTAACCATATGGCCAACTAGCAGGAGAGCCCAGCAGCTCCAAGGAGGAAGGGGAGAGGACCAGGCGTGATCAAGTAGAATGAGTCTGCGGTGAAATGACTTTGAGGGAGGTGGGGAAGGAGATTGGAGCAAAGGGCCAGTCAGCACCGGGGAAAGACTGGTTCTAGCCCACGAAAGCTTATGCTCAAATAAATTTGTTAGTCTCTAAGGTGCCACAAGTACTCCTCGTTCTTAGGACTAACGTGTATCACTCAGAAGCGTCAAAAGATAATTGCAGTAAACCATCTTGGGGCTGGTCTGCTCACAGGTGTCTCACTGATCTAATGATATCGGTTTCTGAACTGATCTCGTTAAATTGGTGCAAAAAAAACTGCGTAGAGCAGCCCTTGACTGGCTCTGCTCTTGTCCTGCAGATGTTCTCTGTAAGGGAAAGGTGTGCAAACACAATGCTCGCGGGCCAAAATAACCAGAGTCTCTTAATGTGAGTAAATGCCATTGAGAGGGAATAACTTGGTCTCCTCTCTCCTGACACGCTGCCCGTGGCTGTAGCTTGCGTGATGTTAACGGGTGAGAGATGACAGGGGGGGTGCAGGAGAAGCATCGGCTGTGGTGCCAGTGATGCTTTCAGGTGGCTTTGAACGCTGGTGGGGCACTTGTGCATGCTGGGGACAGGGCGAAAGGAAGGGGCGAGACAGGCTTTGTCCATGAGCAGGGGCTGCCAGTTGGTGCCCAGTCCAAGCCACACCCAGCAACGGAGACCAGGGTGCTCATTGTTGCTGAATGGAGCCAGGCTTCGAGCGCAGGTCTGCAGCGAGGCTGGGGAGTGCACTAACCCACTGTAACACATGCAGCCACCCACCCACCTCTTGTGACATTTACATATAGCTATTGTGAGCAATTATGGAAGCTCCAGACCGACTGGAGATAGCTGTGTCTGGCAGCCGCTGGAACCCAAATGCTGATGAGCCCTGTGAGCTCTTGGCTAGGGCGTGAGGTACCGCAGGGCCATTCTCGCACTCCAAGGGGCTCAGGTCCGGAAGGGTGACGTTCTGATTTGTTGCCTTTCAGGGATGGCTGGTTGGGAGGTAGATGATTAAGCTGCAGACATGGAAGGGAAAGGACCCTACCGCATCTACGACCCTGGTGGGGGGACACAGGAAGAGGCAGCCGCAGCCTTTGAGCGGCTGGTGGAGGAGAACACCCGGCTGAAGGAGAAGATGCAGGGGATAAAGTCTCTAGGTAATTGCTGTGGTGCGGGACTTGTGTGTGGGGGAGGGTGGCTTTTCTTTTATCCTTCCCCTTTCTGGAGAGTTCGCTGCCTCCCTGTGGCAGACCCTTGCCTTGCAGCCACGATGCCACACGCATGGTGCTCTCACTGCTTCATCAGCTAGAGGGGGTGCTACGGAGTGACACCCCTCTCTTTCCCCACCCCAGGGTGCTCTTGCTGGCTCTGCAACACTCCCTAGCTGGGGTGTGGGAAACCGGGACTATGCATTCAATGTGTAGCCCCTCTCAACCTGTCCTGAACATACCCGGGACGATTGATATCCACGGGGTGATTCCCTGCCTGGGAAACCCCTCCCGGGTATGAAGTGTGCTGTTCTGCAGCGAGTGGCGCAGCTGTGCATCCTGGGAGCGGGCGCTGGCTCCTCACTGAGAAGGCAACACAAAGCTCTTGGCTGTCTGTAAAATCTGTTGCGGTGCCGGCAGAATCTCGTGGCTTGTGCACAGGGACGTGCGGATGGGCTGAGACGCCTGCTGTTTGTGCAGCCTACGGAAAGGCCCGCGGTCTGTGCTAAATGGATGGGTTGCTATGGTTGCTGTGCTGATGCGTGGCTGAGAATTGAGGAGTGTCTTAAATGTGCTCAGCTCCTCTGGCATCCTTCTGTGATGTACTGCAGGGGCCTTGATCCGGCTAGCCTTTTAAATAAGGCTATGCTTCTGTTCAGCTACCACCTGAAACTCCCCCACCCCTAATCCGTTTGATGGCTTTTTCCCCTCTTGCTGGAGAGGACACTTAGTCCACCTCACTGCTGGCTTCTGTGCTGCAAATGTAGGGGAACCTCTTGGCCCGGTGGACCCAAATAATGCAGACTAAGGCCTGGTCCACACTTAAAAATTAGATCGACCTAGCTACATCGCTCAGAGCTGTGAAAAATTTCGCCTTCTGTGTGCCGGGGTTAGGTCGACCTAACACCTGGTGTAGACACAGTGAAGATGGCGGAATTCCTTCCTCAATGAAGGAAGCGACTCCACTCCGGTGCTGCATTGCCAGAGCTGTGCCGCTGTAGTGTAGATGTACCAGTAACCTCTTAGAGTTCACAGGCAGCAGAAAACTGTGATGCCCCGTTCCGAGAGGCCTGACAAGATGCATGAGTGTGGGAAAAGATTAGATCTTGTTGTACTACCCAGTGGAGATTAAAGGCCTTGGAAAAGGGACCCTCCTGGCCCAGGGTGAGGTTCTCTGACTTAAGATCAGAGCTTTTAAAAACTGGGGAAGACATATGAAATATAAAATCTTCCCTGTAAGATGTGCTGTCCTTGATGTTTCCATGCTAGAGAAGCATCAACTGTAGTTCCAGTGTGGGATTATTTGCTTGGGAAAAATTATTTCTGTCATGTGTGACATTTCCATTCTGGTTGTGAACTACAAGTGGGGGAGGGGATTTGTGCAGGCTGGCATGGGGAACTGGTCTCTGGGGCATGGCAACTATATACTAGGGAAGGGGTGTAAATACCAGGAAATGCGAACTCCTCTGTTTACTGTATACACCAGGAGAACTGCTGGAAGAGTCCCAGATGGAAGCATCGAAACTGCGACAGAAGGTGGAGGACCTCGTGAAGGACAATGAGATGCTGAAGTCGTCTTCCTCTTTCGACAAACTGCCTGAAATAACAGGTATGAAAGTGGGAGGCTCCCCCAGGGAGAGCCGTCCCGTCCAGATTCAGGAAGAGGACATAAATTATTTGAGCAGATTCACTGCTCAGATTGGCTGGGTTTCATAATGTTTTTTTTCTCCTCCTATGTTCTATAGCGCACGCACACGCGCGCACACACACCTCTTTCTTCTCTGTCCCTGATGTTCCCAGGGAGTTGCGTGGCCTGTGGAGTGTCCTTATTTCCCACATCAGTGGTTATGGAGAGAGAAGGTCAGAGCAAAGTTTGGGAAGTCATATCTGGCCTGCCCATTAACCTTCCCTAGTGCACATACATTAGGGATGGTGTGCCTAGCCTGTGTTTGCCAGAAGCTGGGAATGGGCGACAGGAGATGGATCACTTGGTGATGACCTGTTCTGTTCATTCCCTCTGGGGCACCTGGCATTGGCCACTGTCGGTAGACAGGATACTGGGCTAGATGGACCTTTGGTCTGACCCAGTATGGCCATTCTTATGTTCTTAACGTAACAGCCTGTAGCAGCATTTTAAAATGGGTATGCAGACTGTTGGTGCCCTCTGGTCCAGGAGTCCTGTATGCAAAAAGGCTGCCCCCTGCCTTCAAGGAAGTGATTCCCAAGCTGTGGAATGGCCAATGAAAAGTGAAGAGCAAAGTTAAGTGTCCTAATGAAAAGAGCTGGCTGCTGCTCTTTTATATTGAGATTTGCCTGCAGCTAGTCTGCCTTCTCCAGCTCCTGCTCCCTTCTGAGGACAATACGTTGAGGGCTGGTGTAATTCGTGCATGTTTCAGATAAGCCATGAAAACCTGAGGTCCTGTCTGATTTCTGTGGACATCAAACCTCCCCTGGCGTGCTTAATAAGAGTGGGATTTGTTGGCCCAAATTTTCTTCCCTGCAGAACCCGTGAGTACCCTAATGTAGACAAGCCTCCTGCAGCCAAGCCCGTTTCTGGAACCGTTTTTAGGTAAAGCTGCTTAAAGCAAGTCTAATCGAAGGAGCGATTCAAAATGGCTGTGGCTGCCGGAGGGTAATCTACACCAGGGCTCCCACAAAGTCAGCTGAACTGGTGTTAGAACCAATAGGAATCTTTGTGAATTTCCGCGTCGTTTGACTTCTGTACTGGGGGGGCAGGGGGGAAAAGCTCCAGTCAGGTCAATCGGGTCGCATGGGGTGGGGGGCAAATTCCGCACCTGCCTGAGGCTTTCAGTTTGGGGGGAGGTAACGCCGCCCTGCCCCCCCCGCCACACACACAAACTATAGCCATGAATGGGCAAGGCCTGTGTGAGGCTGTTATTGTTGAAGTTGTCTGCTCCCAGGGACTGGCTGATGAGACTTAAAGTGCTGCAAAGAGAATATCTAAGCCCTGGACCTGATCTTTCAGGATAGCGGTGTGAAGCATCCGAACAGGGGAACATCCAGCTGCTTTACCTGACTGACTAAAGGCAAACGCCTGGGAGTTAATACACACCGTCTGCATTTGCACGGCATGCAGGGCATTACCTGGACCACTTTCCCACAGGGCAGCCCCTGGAAAGAGCCAGGAGAAGGGTGTACAAGTGTGGGGCTTAGCCCTGGAAGCCGTTCCTTGGTGCCTGTTAGTCTGTTGCTGCTGGTTAGATGGGAGGAAACCAATCCGCACTCTGACCTCTCTCTGCAGCCTGTTGATGTTATGAGACTCTGTTGTTTTGTAGCCGGGGGGGGGGGAGAGGGATCGGAGAAGGGCCAGTTGAGTAACATTTGTTGCCAGTGCAGAATTTCACCCAGTGAAAGCCTGAGTTCCCTTCCCCTCCGGGGAACGAGTTGGAGGTTTCTGTCCTGTCGCACTAGCTGGAAATCATTGTTCTCTGTGACTTCTTAGCCTGTCTGGTCTCTGCCTCTTCACTGCTGTCCTGTTTCCCATGCCAAGCTCTGAAACATTCACCGCTGTGGCATCCTCTCCCTTTTACAGGAGGTGATCCAGAGCCACACCTGTCCCCCGCGGGTCCAGGCAAAGCTGAGAAGAAGCCGGATACAGACGCTCAGAAGCCTCCATCCACTGTAAGTCTGATGAAAGGGAGGCATTTGCCCTTTAACCCTTAGCAGCCCAGGCCCTGAAATGATCAGGCAATTAAAAAAAAAAAAAATACTCTGAGACTTAAGGAAACAGACACGTCGGAAGGGGCTAGAATTCCTGCCTGACTGGGGTGGGTTCCCTGTTTTGTTTCCCACATCCGTGATAGAATGGACTGTGAGCCTGTGTCTTTAGACTCGCATGTAATTGCAACAGCTGCTCTGCATTCTAGCATTGGAGTGCAGTGCCAGCTACTGTTATCTACGCCCATTCGCTTTCCCTTCAGGGGCTTCCATCCCAACTCTGACCCCTGTAGACACAGGACTTGCTTTCTGTTTGGGGGGAAACCTGCCTGTCCTAGGAGCCCCTATGACTGGATTCTAGTCCTCAAACCTGGAGGATCATCTTTACAATGCATAGAGCGGCTTAAAGAGCTGACCCGCTGGCCCAAACCATCCCTGTTTTGTACTAGAGCAAATGGCATTAAGCCAGCTGGCGGAACAGGGAAATGTCTCCCTTCCCTGCCGCCCCCATAATCTCCGTCCTCCCTTTGCTGTGATGGAGCACTGTGAGATTTGCTTTCCCTGCGTGAGGGCCTGACTCCCCCTCTCCCTTCACAGGGATCCTCGTCAGAGTTCGAAATTGTATCTGGTGAGGACAAGAGGTTTTCCCAGGAGAGCAGGAAGTCGGTGAGTTATCCTGCCAGCTCGGTTCCCCGGGGGAAAGCTCGTCTGGGACTCGAGACAGGGCTATTAGTACATTGCGGGGGCAGGTGGTGGCGACTGTGTAAGATGGGCAAGGCCGTTTGTTCTGGTTTTCCTTGCACTGACCGGGTTTGCTCTTCCTGGATGGGAATGGAGGCCGGGTAGGTGGTGGATGATCCGGTGCAGTAGCTAGGGCTAGAGTGCTGATTCTGAGTAGCAAGGCCAGAGGAGCAGCCAGCCAATTCTCCCCGCGCCCACTTCCCCGTCGCCTCACCCCATTTCAGTCCCTGGCCTGATGCACGAGAGCTGCGGCGCGCACACAGGAACCACCGCACGATTGCTTCCCTTGGCCCGTTTCCCGGGACACGGCCAGGAAGATCAGAAGGGGAAAGCGGGAGGCTGCTGCAGAGGGGCCTTCTCGCTCGCTTATGCAAATGGGCCGGCGCCGGTGACTTCCCTCCGGGCAGGCGCCGTGCGCTCTGTGCAGCTGGGCGTTCAGCCAGGAGGGCAGGCCACCGGCCTGGGAAACTGGGCGCCTCGGGGCTGAAGAAAGGGGCTGTAAAGTCCTGAGTGGCGCAATCTGGCGCCGCACGTTTCGTAACCCTTTCTGTCTCTGCGCAACTTGACAATCGCTGGGTTATTTCCCCCCCTCCCCCGCACTGCCCCCCTGCCCTACACACAGTTGATGAGATTTTTGCACCCACCCTGGCCTATTTAGGATCCTCTTGACGCCCTGTTAACTATCCCTGTAAAAACCACCATAGGACTCAGCGTGGCTAACAGGCTCTGCTTAGCAGGTGCCCACTGCTGGCACAGCAGAGCTGGTCGGGCAGGGTCCCGACTGAGGCCCATTGAGGAGCCTGCATTCAGCCTGCCTGTGGTAAGCTTGGCTGTATCCCTGACAGGAGTCCCAGGGGAATGCATCCTTTGAGAGCATTGCCAGTCACTGCCTCCCGGCCCTTCTCCCGCCCTCAGCAGGCCGGCGTTGTTTTTCTGGGAGCCTGGCTGCAGTGCGTAGGAGGGCGAGTGGCATTCAGGCTGATTCAGACTAGGAGCTGAGCTGCTGAGGAAGGGGGCACTCGCCCCCTAGCGTCCACTTACTGCCTGTACCCAGCCCTTGTGTGTCAGCCTGTGTTTTGGTTCCCAGAGCCTGGCCTTGCCCCGCAGCTGTTCTGCACACCTGAAGTGGGGAATCCTTCCCACTCTGCCGGCACTGCGGTGGAGCAAGTCGCTGCACGCTTTGCTCTGGGCCCAGACCACTGTGTCCGAGCCGGGCAGCATCCGGGGCGGGGGAGGGAAATAGGACAGTAAAGAGAATAGCTTCTTGTTGGATAAAAACAACCCCAGTGCCAGGTCCTAGAAACACATGCTGCTTCACTGGGACAGGTCCCCGGGTTTGTGCGAGGCCCAGCCCACGCACACATTTGCACCAGTTTCACTAGAGGGTGTGACTTATAGCGGTTTAATCAATCCAGTGCAACTTTGTGTGTGGATGCTCTGAAATCAGCTTATATCCATCCAGCTTCCACCTGTCCATTGAGAGGTGCCAGCTCAACCCATTTAAACCCCACAGGAAAACTCACCCAGTTTTAAGAGAAATCGGTGCAACCCGTGCGCGTAGAGAGAAACCAGGAGCAGGCGAGAGGGTGGCTGGGTGCATGTGTGGCAGACACATGAGGTGGGGTGATGCAAAGTCAGAAGTGGGTTATGTTGTCACTCCCTTTGCTAGTTGGTGCTGGGGCTGGAATAGCAGGGAGCTGCCCCCCGCGCTATCTCTGCTCCATTCCTATCTATAGCAGCTCCCCTGGCAGATGCTGGGAATGGAGTTTGCTCCAGTAACTTTACTGCTTGGCATTGTCTTAGCCAGTTTTCTCTTGGCTCTTATCTTTGGCGGGGGGCTTTACAGCTGACCTGTGTGCTGCCTGGCTGGGCACATACGGAGGCTGCCAGGGCTAAGTGCGAGCCAGGCTGGGTGTGCCCGGACGTGCCCTCCTCAGCAGCATTGCTAACAGTGATAAAATCTGATGGGGCCAGAAAGCCAGAGAGCTGAGGACGGTCTGTGGTTTGTGAAGCTGGGGGATGTTGCTTTTTCGCGTTCCCCTTTATGAGTCAGCCGCGGGACGCGTGAGAGGTGGATACGGACTCCTGCAACTCTGGGATTTCCCGGGGCCATGGGGGCAAAAGGACGGGGGGCGGGGCATGAGTGAGGCAGCCCGGGGAGCAGTGCCAGGCTCCCAGCAGGTGAAAGGCTCACAAGACTCGGCGTGGGAGGAGCCCCGTTCTTGGTGGACTGGCCAGGTGGCACGCAGGGTGAGACCTGTTTCCCTCTTGGGAGTCATGGCCCCAGAAGGTGTCTTCGGTCTCCTAGGTAACCAAACAGTTAAACACCCGCAATAGCTTAGGGCAAGTCAGGGCTCAGTAACCGAACGGTGCAGCCGGGAGTTCTGTCAACATGTGTGTAAGTAAGTGGGTGTGTGGGGTGACGCACGCCGGCAGGTGTGCCCGGCCACGATAAATACAGCCCGGTCCACTCTCGGCTGGCATCTGTCGTGGGACCTGGATCCCCGCATGCCCTGGGGTTCCTGGGAGCAGGACAACCGCAGAGACAAAGCCCAGCGGAAGAGAGGAATTACGTGGTAGAGGCAAGAGAGGGAGCTGCCCCCAGCTGAGCTTGGAGAAGCAGTGGAGGGCTGCAGGAAGGTACCAGGAGCTGCAGAGGAGAAGGGCCTCGTGCCAGCAGTGGGACAGAGAGGAAACGGATGAGACAAGTTCTGAGCGAGGCCGCAGCGGGTCCTTGGGGTCCAGTTCCCATACGGCACCAGGTAGCACAAGCTGAGCTTGTTCCAGTGTGTAGCTCAGAAGCGGCACCTTCTGGCACTTCCCAGCGAGGTGCAGGGCGAGGGGGGTCGCTGCCCATGGGGGCCCGTTGGCTTACTGCTCCCCCAAGAGAATCCAGGTTCAGTAGTCTCACTGGACTCTGGCATTCGATTGGTGTCCACAGCCAGAGCAGGGTTGTGTACCGAGTCGTCTGGGCAAGCCCTCCTACGCTCCAAGATTGCTCTGTTATCCCAGGGCTACCCACAATATGTCTCCTGGGGGGGCCCGTCCTTGAATGGAGACCCCCCTGTGGGAAAAAACCTGCATCGGGCTGGTTCAGATCTCACTGGCAGGTCACAGGCGTGTTCTGGACGCTCTGGCTGGCCAGTGAGGGCAGGATGGGACTGGTGCTTGCCAGCGTTGCCTGTGTGGGATGGGTAACAGAGAAGCTGGGAGGTCCTAGAACTCTGGTAGCCGCTTGGGTTTCATTGTAGTGTCTTTTGGGATGTAGAAGGGCACCGTTGTCTAGAGACACAGGAGCCACTAGAGGGCACTGGAGGCTCAGAGTCCTGCGTGGAGGGAGACACTGTTCCTTCAGCAGGGAGAAGCGAGAATTAGGTCTAGAAAGGAGGACCCCGGGGTGAACCCCAGTAAATCCCCTGCCCTGTGCTGATGCCCTGTTTGGGTTCTCTTTAGGGGTTTGAGTTGGCCCCACATTCAGTCGCCGCTCGGCATCTCAGTAGGAGGATGAGCACCAGTTCGCGGAGGCTTCTGGGTTTGGCTGCTATCTTCTACCTGCTGGAAGGTGCTTGCTAAGCTACCTTCACTCCCCATTAACCAAGTGCTTTGTTCGAGAGCGCTCGCCTCGCAGGGCCGAGGTGGGGCTTTGAGAGCCCTGGCTGGAAGGTGCTGCGGACATGCCAAGAGAGGTTGAACTCTCTGACACTGCCTGAGTGGCTGGCCGCCTCCTCCCTTGCACAGCCCTGCTCTCCCTCAGCTCCACGGGTGCGAGGCTGCCGGGCTGACCTGTCTGACTGACTGCAATTCCTCTCCCAGGACGCAGAGCTGCAGAATGAGGACACTAACCTGATGCTGCACCTGCAGCGGCTGGAGAGCACCCTGAGCATCTTTGCCGAGGAGCCGGACAAGAACCAGGTCTTGGCTCACCTGGGGCGCATGGCCCTGGAGTTTAACCGCCTGGCCTCCAAAGTGCACAAGAACGAGCAGAGGACGTCCGTTCTGCAGGTAGGGACGTTCCCTCTGCACGCAGCAGAGAGGCCTGTGGGGTCTGTCCCCCGCAGGCAGGCCTAGGAAACTTCCTTCCCCCCCCCCCCCCCCCCCCCACCCCACTGTAAATCCTGCAGGGACCTCCGCAAGGGAGCGCTGCCTTTCTCCACGCTCCCCCTTTTCCTCTCCTCATTTCTCCCCCCTCCACCACACCAGTCCCTCCTTTGATCTTTTCTTCTCTGTGTCCCCATGCTCCCACCTCCCCCTGCTATCTGTGTGTGAGAAACTGCAGGCTCGTCTGTGTCCAGCCTGCTCTCGTCCAGCGTCCCCTTGTCACTTCCCTCCCACTTCTGGCCATGAACAAAGCACTAAGTGCCTGGGGCGAGGGGGAAATCTTCCCCCGTGGGCGGCTTGATTGTGTAATTGCTCATTATTGGACATAGAATGACTTGCATCTTCCTCCAAAGCACTGATAGCAGATGCTACCGAGAGACAGGCTGCTGGGTTAGCTGGATCATTGGTTTGGTTCTTATGGTCCCTAGTAGGGTTGGCCACTTTAGGACCACCCTTTGAAGCACTGAGGTCACATTCGGCCTGTGAGCGAGATGTGTAGTGCCCAAGGGATAGGTGTACGGGCGCTTCTCCCCTCCAGTAGCATTAGTGGAGGAGAGACCAAGTCATAGAGCCCAGTTGGCCATCAGGCAGGGGCCTGGCCTTGTTAAACCAAGGGGGTTCCATCGCTGGAATGCCCTTTCCCTGGATGTCAAGGGGGCTGTGTGAAGCATGAGCCTAAAGCCACTCGTGTTCCTCTGGCAGACGCTGTGTGAGCAGCTGCGTAATGAGAACGAGGACCTGCGGGCAAAGTTGGAGAAGGATTTGGAGCAGAGGAACCAGGCTACGGAGAAGCTTAGGTGAGAGCAGGAGGGATGTTGGCTGGGCAAGACGCTTGGTTGGCGGGGTGGATCGGATGGAATTTGGCGTCTTTCCTGCCCTGATTGTTAACTTCTTCAAATGTTGGTTGCTGTATGAATCCTTGAGGGTCTCTCAATCTGCGTTTCTGTTGTGCTCTTCCCGCCGCCAAGGTGTGAGAACCTGGAGCTGAAGAAGATGGTGATGATGAGCAACAAGGTGGGCGTGAAAGGGGACGGTGTGGAGAACGCTGGCCAGCAGCAGGTAGGAACAGCCAAGACTCTTCCTCTTCCCAACTCCTCTTCCCTGTGCCATCCCAGGACAGCTCCCACGCTGCAGGGACAGCTCCCACACCGCACGGACAGCTCCCACCCTTTGTAACAGTACCCTGATCGCACCTTGGAATGGAGTCCCAAGTCCAGAGCACCGTGTGATCCTGGAGGGTGCCTGGAAGCCCTCTTGGCAAACCCCCCATTTATCTTCAAAGCATCCCTTAACCCTTCATAGGCTGATATTTTTAATCTCCCAGGGCCCGATTCTCCCCATTTACCCCTGTGTGGCTGGGGTGGTGCCCCTGACTCCAGCAGTCACCCCTCTGTAGAAGGAAGGCTCCAGGGTGGGAAAACAGGCCCTAAACTTGGAACAAGTGCAGGTATTTGTTTCTTTAAGAGGCTTATTTTGGAGGGAGGGACCTAAAGCTACGGCAGAGCTAGGAGTCATTCTGCCATGCTCCCTGCAGCCTTGCTAAATGCCACTGGGTCAGTGTTGGCTACCAGCAAACCCTGCTGTGGCGGGGAAGTCCAAAGCGGCAGAGCACGGCAGCTCCCCGCCCCCATCGCCAAGGGTTGGGCTGGAAAGGCGCACGTCTTTGTAAGGGGAGGAATGGTCTTGGGCGACCAGGGCTTTGCCACTGAGCCGGGGTGCGGACCCCCTCTCCACAGTGGGGAGAATGCTACTTACGCCGCAGGAAGTGGTGAAGCCAAGTGAGTGCGGGTGCACTCGTGAACCGTTGCCTTGAAAACCTTGTGTGACTGGGAGGGCGGGTGATTGTGCCATCAAACCAGCAACAGGAGCGAGCGGAGGATTCCCGTGCTGAGGGAGGCAGTAAAGCAGCAGGGGCCAAAGCCGAAGGCTGATCGTCCTTGAACTAGAAGGCGTTCCCTGCCTTTGTGGGCAGATGGCTGGCTGCTCCCACCACATCCGTGTCCCCAAAGAGCGGGAGAAGTCCCTTTCCCCGGGGAAGGGGGTGGGGAGAGGACCGAGGCAGACACCAGATGGCGCAGTGCGGGACCCATGCTGCCTGGGGTCCAAAAAGCAATTCCTGACACTAACGACATCTAAATTTCTCTCCCCCCTCCCTACCCTGCAATTGCTCGGGTGGCTGTTGGGGGGTGGTGAGTGGTGGCCAGAATCGAGGGATTATGGGGGCAGGCCAGTGGACTCTGCCTGGGCTGCGAGTTCACGTTGGTTACCTGCAGAGAGACAGCCGGTGCAAGGCTGGTGTCAGTGAGTCACGGGGCTGGAGGTGGGTTCTGCTCCCCGCCAGGCGGGGCTGATGGCCGTCGCCGTGTGAGGCATCATGAGCTGTGTTGCTCAGGTGTGCTGGGAGGGCAGGGGACAGCTGGGGGAGTGGGGCAGGTAGCTGTTGGACGCAGGACTCTTCTCCTGCTTCCCCGGCTGTGGGATGTGTCTGGCCCAGCTGCCGTGAAAGTCCTGAGGGTTTCTGTTTGCGCTGTCTCCAGAGTGGAGCGCTGGCAGAGAAAGCATCGGGCAAGGGCGTGCCAGGGGCCAGTGAGAAGAAGGTGAAGATCCTCGAGCATCAGCGCAATGAGGTGAGCTGGACCCGCTGCGGAGCACCCCGGCATTGTTGGCTTAGAGTGTTCGCCTTTCCCCCAAAGGCGTGCCAGGCCTGGCTCACACGGCCTAGTGCTAATGTACGCACCTTACAAAGCAGTCCCACTCTTGGCATGATGGGCCGTGTCTGCTCAGGGCAGGCCCAGCACTAGGAGAGTAGCAAGGGGCTGTGGATCAGTCTGAGGTGCATGGGCAGAGCCTGGGGAGGTGGGGGAGCTGTGAATCGAGCTGGGGGGAGCTCTGGGGTAGCAGGAGGCTGTGAATCGAGCTGGGGGGATGCGCTGGAGTAGCAGGGGGCTGTGGATCGAGCTGGGGGGGAGCGCTGGGGTAGCAGGGGGCTGTGGATCATACTGAGGTGCACTGGCAGAGCTGGGGGAGAGTTCTGGGGTAGCACGGGGCTGTGGATCGAGCTGGGGGGATGCTCTGGAATAGCAGGGGGCTGTGGATCACACTGAAGCGCACCGGCAGAGCTTGCCTGCCCCTTGCTTGTCTGTGACATTCCTACTGTCTCTCCTGCTGGAGCTGCTAGTTGCTCAGTTGCTAGTCACTAAGCATGAAGGTTTTACAAATGATGGTTCAGCTCAACTTCTAAGAGCATGAGCCTGGCTAGTGGGAGAAGAACTGGGTTCTGCTTGGGCGCTCTGCTCACACAGCGCTCCTGAGAGAGAGAGAGTGCCTGGGGGAAGGAGACTGGTAAGCTGCAAACGCCTGTTCGCCCCACTTGGCGGGGGGGAGAGGGGGCTGTGCCCCAGTTAACTCTGTGTCTTTCTCCCCCTAGCTGCTGGAGGTGAACAAGCAGTGGGATCAGCACTTCAGGTCCATGAAGCAGCAGTACGAGCAGAAGGTACTCCTAGGTGTCCGCATGTGCCGAGCAGTTTGCTTGTGGGCAGAGGCTGTGTATGCACCTGTGAGTGTTACACACAGACCATTCTGGGCGAACTGTTCTCCTCCGGACTGTGCGATTCCTCTGAAATGTCTCGCCGGCGAACGTGTGCGTGTGTTTGCAGGGAGCAGCATGGGGGCTACTCGGGTATCCCCCACCCCCTCAGTGCGCTCTCCTTTCCCCAGCCACGAGCTCTCCCCAGGCTCTCTCCCCATCCATAGAACCATTCATTCCCCCTCCATCCATGCCAGCCTAGGCATCTGTGCCGTTCTCATCTTCGCCGTGGTATCGGAGCCCATCTCTTTCTCTTGGAACCTCCTCTTTCATGCATGACACGGGTGGGGAGAGGCAGCTGAAGGGGCTGTGGGGAAGTTTTAAATTAAAATGCAGGTGGGGGTGGGTGGGCAAATGGGGCTGGGGGTTGCACCTCTGCTGTGGGCGGCGCTGCGTTCCAGACGGTCACGTGGCCGCCCTGTCCCCCGGCAGATCACGGATCTGCGCCAGAAGCTGGTGGACTCCCAGAAGGCGCTGAATGAGCTGGAGGCAGGGCGGGAGCCGAAGCAGAGGGACTTTGATCGCAAGCTTCTCCTGGCGAAATCCAAGATTGAAGTGGAGGAGGTGAGTCCTGGGCGGGAGGGGCTGTATCCTCCCCGCACTCAGGAGCTGGGCAAAAACCAGGCGCTTGTGCGTTGGCTTCCTCTTGCCACAGTAACCCTGGCTCTTCCCAGCACGTCGTCTCCCTCTGGCTCCCCAGGTGTCGGCTGAGTCAGAGCCACTGTGTTAGCAGAATGATTGAACAAACTCTGGGCCGGGGCAGTGGGGAGAGATGGGGCGTGTAGCTCTCCTCCGGGCTCTGTGAGGAGGCAGCGATCCTGCGTGCCGCGCCTTGGAGCAGCGGGCGGGCCCCATGCGGGCTCTTTGGGGGCACTCTGCCTCCCAGCGCCTCTCTCCTGCCTCCAGTGTAGTAAAACCCCCCTGCCTGGGAGCGAATGGTTGGAAGGAGGCTGCGTCCTGTCAGGCCCCAACAACCGGGCTGCCGCTCGCCCTGCAGCACCAGAGTCAGGGGCCGCCACGGGGCCTAGAAAGCAGGAGCAGGCCCATCTTGTTGCTTTCAGACTCACAAGCCTGGCTGGTGTGGGGCGGAGGGAAAGAGGGTCAGACTAGGGGGAAATGTTTGCTGGGAGTGAGGGAAAGAGGCTCCGAAATCCGCTGAGCCCTCCATAGGGGCCAGTTCTAGTTGAGGGAAGGGCAGAGAGATCTAACTAGACTCCCTTCTGCTGAGCCACGGCCGTGTGAGAAGGCACCTTCCCGATCGGAGCAGAGGTGCTGCTCTCTCTGCTCCCCGGTGCTTGACCCGAGGGATGAGTCTTTCCCCTCTCACCCCCCGCTCTGCCACCTGGCTTTTCCCTCCCGTCACGCCCAGGGAGGGAACGACAGGCCTGGGAGGAAGGGCGGTGAGTAACGTAGGGCTGCGCCTTCCTCTGACCTCCCTGCCTCTTGCCCTTTCAGGCAGAAAAGGAGAGGCTGGCTGGGGAGGTGAGGGATCTGAAGCAGAGAATCAAGTTCCTGCAGGAGCAGCTGACACCGGTCACCAAGCAAAGGGAGTACCAGGAGAAGGAGATCCAGAGGCTAAACAAGGTGAGCAGCCTGGCAGCGCCCATCCCTGGTCGCCCCTGATAAGTCTTTGGTTTCCAAGGACCAGTTCAGACAGGTGTTCCTGTACCTCTGGCAAACTGCAGTTCCCCTGGTTCCCCGGGCACTGCCTGCACCTCCTATCAATGCACTGTGTCTCCGAGCAAGGCAGCGGCTGCCCCTTTCCATCCCCCTCCTCCCAGCTGGACAGTAAACCCAGAGCAGCTGCTCCCTGTCCTGCCTTCCTAGCCAAGCTCTTTCACAGAAACCCCGCCTGGCCAGTTGTGCAGTGCCGGAGAGCAGCGGCCCAGGGAGACCTGCGGGTGCCTGAGAGGGGGAAGTGCTAATGTGCTAGGAATTGGCTGAGCTGAAAGAAGAAACGTTTCTCCCCCCATGGGAAGAGTCTCTGATGGAATCTGCCTCGCTCAGGGGTGGACGCATCCTGCCAGGGGATTATGGGAGGGCCTCTGCTCATGGCTCCATCAGACAGTGTGAGGGCAGCTGGGGGCACTTTTCTATAGCTCAGCGGTTGGTAGCTGCAGGTCGCCAGGGGTCCTAAATGGAGCCTGTGCTGACCGTGTACAGGCCGCATGTTGCAAGCGTAGCTGCGGGAAGGGCCCGTGTCTCTTTTGGGGATGGGGCATTGCAGGGGAAAAAGCCCTTTGTGGCACTTGGCTGGCAGATACCCCTTGGGCATCAAGCCTGCCTCTCCTGGTGTTCTGGATACCAGCCTGCCCCTCCTCAAACCCATCCTGCCTGTCTCCGAGTTTGAGCCCTCTCCGTCTGTTCCGAGCCGTGCTGGCTGACCTGCCCTTCGCCGCGCCCGGGTCTGAATCCTGGAGGGACACAGCTGTGCCCTGGGCAGTACGTGCCAGAGGCTTTGCCCAGACATCCTGCGGCAGCGGCAGGCACGTCTCGCTGTTGGATAGTATCAGGGGGTAGCCGTGTTAGTCTGTATCCACAAAAACAACAAGGAGTCCAGTGGCACCTTAAAGACTAACACATTTATTTGGGCATAATGCCTGCATCTGTAACTTTCACTCCATGCATCTGAAGAAGTGGTTTTTTTACCCACGAAAGCTTATGCCCAAATAAATCCCTTAGTCTTTAAGGTGCCACCGGACCCCTTGTTGTTTTTGTCGCTGTTGGATAGTGACCAGGGCTCTGTTCGGGCCTTAGTTTCACCCCTGGCTTGTCTGAGTGGTGACGGTGGGAGGGAGGGCCAGTGAGAACGCGGGATTTTCCAGGAGGCAGAAAGGTGGGGATTTTGTTTCTTTTAATCAGCAGTCGGAGCAAGAGAGGAGAGAGGGCCTGGGTGGTGGCTGTGCTCTTCACCTGCACCATGTCCAGGCTTCGCTTGGTTTGTCTGCACTAACTCTGGATATCTGCCTTCCCAGCCCCCTTCCAGCTGGGCGTGTGGCCCACTACTCTATGCACTCTAATGGCGCCCTCTGTCCCTCTCCACCCTCAGGCCCTGGAGGAGGCCCTGAATGTCCAGGCCCCTGCTTCTGCCCCTTCCGCACTCAGTAACGCCACGGAGCCGGGCGGGAGCATGAGACCACACGAGCTGCTGACCCAGAACGAGCTCCTGAAGCAGCAGGTAAGGAGGGATTGTGGCTCTCTCTCACTCTAGTTCCCTGGGCTAGCTGGGGCTGCAGAGACCGTGTGAACGCAGACCCTGGGAAGGGTCTCGGGTCTCTGAGCAGATAGCCCCAGCCTCCCCTCTGCTTAAAGGGCCAGATTCTGCTTGGATTCCCACCAACGTGGTCAGCTCCGTTGACGTTCCTCTAGCTTTACTCTGGTGTAACTGGGAAGAGGCTGTAAGGAACGCCATTGGTGGTATCTGACCGTAGCCCCATCCAGGCCTCGGCTGGAAGTGCCTGTGACGGGGTGTCACGGAAGGGGACACAGCAGGGTGCCAGGTCTGACATGAGTTTGCACTGTTGGGGGTGGTGTCTCATCTCTCGAAGGCTCGGTGTGAATTCTTCAGTTAGCTTGGCATGAAGAATTTCAACATGCGCTCACAGGGAGGGCGCCTGCCCTGCCACCCCCTGGACCCTGCGGGAGGTGTCTGACAGGGCCCAGTGACCCTCTCTGCCTCGTCTCTCTGCCAGGTGAAGATCTTCGAAGAGGACTTCCAGCGGGAGCGGCGCGACAGAGAGAGAATGAACGAGGAGAAAGAAGAGTTGAAGCAGCAGCTGGAGAAACTTAAGAAGCAGTTAACAGTCTCCAACAACCAGGTAGGGCAGTGGGGTGAGGAGTGGGAGAGTCATGCTCAGAATGCTCTGTGCTCTGAAGTTAACGTCAAGAGGCGTTTGGGAACAGGGGAGACAAGTCCACCCCTGAGCTCTGCTATGTGCATGAATGCGTTGACACAGCCAATGCTGGGAGAGTGGACTGGGCACAAGTGAAACCCACTGGCAGATGGAACCGGATCTCTCGACACGATCCTTCCCTGACCCCCGTTTGTGCCGATCGGCCAGCGAGCTGGGTCTCTGCCTCCTGACCCTCGAGGGATCCAGCCCGTCAGTGTGTGGTGTGGGCAGTTTGTTCACCGCTCCGTGCAGATAGGATGGAGGTGAAAGCCGTGCCAGCTGGGGAAGGGGAACTCGTGTGGGAGAAGATGGCAGTTTCCAGAGTGCTTTGGGGTCAGCAGGGGCTGGGGGGCAAAGACAAACACAGGAGACAACGTACATTCATAGTGTGCAGGGCCCTGCGATCCCACGGGCAGCCCCACCTAGGATGGCGATAGACCCGTGTCCCCAGCGCAGGAAAGCTTGCGTCAGCCAGCAGCGTTCAAGTCCACGCTCCCACCCGGGTCAGCTGAGCCCCCTGGCTTCGGTCTGTGGGGGGGAGGGGTATGCGACGAAGGCCTCCTGCGAGACCTGGCTTCCTACCAGCCCCGAGGGTCGGTCACTCAAAGGTTATTGAGATTAAGTTGTTTTCTTGCCTCTGTCGTGGCCTAGAGCCAGCTCCCCCCAGCCTAGGGGAGCTTCGTGCTGAGGGGGGTGGGCGGTGTTGTCTGTGAGATTTTAAAGATCTCTTCTCCTCACGGGAGTAGCTGAGAGGCCTGTGCGAAGGAGCCGTCTCCTCCATCACAGTCCCGGGCAGCAGCTGCTCTGTTTGCAGAGTTGCAGAAGCTGCCCCCTTGGGGAGATTTGGGGCTGTCCTCCGCTGTCCCTCTTGCCCCGGCACGCAGCCCAGCCAGTCAGTAGCTCTCGGGGCAGCCGGGGTGGGAGACCCACAGGAGCCTGTTGGCATCGGGGGCGCCAGGCAGGGCTTCCGTCAGTGCTGATGAGGTGGCTTTAGGTGCTTGACCCCAGGGACTCCTCCCCCCGCATTTGAGTGGGAGCTGCCAAAATTCCCCTGCCTTTTGGGCCGTAGCCCCCCACAGGAAACAAGCAGCCACCGGCTGCCAGCGCCCGTGTGGCCGTGACCCAGGCCGGCCTGCAGATTTATTTTAAAGCCCCTCTGGGATCACGCTCCGGACAGGCCGGCATGTGGCCAGCGAGGGCGGGGGCAGTGGGTGCTTTCGGTGCTCCAGCTCGGGCCCCAGGTTCGGCCCCAGCGTGGCTGTCAGTCGCCGCTACCAGGCTGCCCTGCCCTCGGCAGGCAGGAGTACTGTCCGGCGCATACCGGCGTCCGCGAGGGGGGGCTGGTGCTGTGCCACACTCTCCGTTCTGACCCCGCCTCTCCTCCAGCTGCGGCTCTTCAAGGACGACTGTCAGAGAGAGAAGGAGGAGAAGGAGAAACTGAAGAAGCTGCTGAAGCAGCACAAGCAGGTATGGAGGGTGGTGGGCGGAAGCAGCTCTCCCCTCTCGGGGACGGGGTGTTGGCCGGAGCAACGTGGGGTTTTTCTGGGGGTGGGAGGGTTGGAAGGGGAGCAGCGTAGGCCAGGGCTACCCGGGGAGTTCGGTGCCCTGGCTGTAAAAACCCCTGCATGCTGATGTGCAGCTGTTCGGGAGGCTAAGAAATCCGAACGTGTGGCAGAGTTACCGGTGCGCTCTCTGCCTCCTGCCCCCAGCACGGAGGGTGTGTCGGGGCGTGATTGGTGCGAGGGGGCGTCTAGCCATTGCAACGCTGAAGTTCCTGTAGGTGATGCTGGGGGCTGAACCTGCCCTTGGCTGGTGCCGGGATCAGAGGACATGAAAGGATCTTACAGGCACCTTTGCCTCTGCCTAGGATCTTGTGCCAAGTGCATCTCGGCCAGAGCCAAGGACCAGGGCTCGTGGTGCACAGATGCTACCATGACAGGCACATTAGACTTGCACAGCTGGGCGGAAGGGGGGTCTGTATAAGCCGGGCTGTCTCGGCTTTGTTCCTGAATCTGCCCATCTGCCTCTTGCAGGTTTCTGGAGAGAGGCTGCACCCAGAGCCGGTCCCGGGGCCTCTCGGCCCTGCCTGCCCCATGTACCAGTTCCAGTATAGCCCTCCAGTGCCCCACCACGTCTACCGTGGCTACGAGGACTGGCAGCAAATCCGGTACCCACCTTCAGCAATGCCGGGCGACCATCCACCAGTGCAAAACTTCCACCACTTCCCTCCTGTGAGTACCATCTCGGGCAGGCGTAAGGCTGGGCCAGGGCGGGGGCCATCCTGTAACCATCTCTGCTCCTTGCACGCCCCTCCCAGCCTCTCCTGCAGCGTCTGGATGTGTTTCAGGCCAGGTGGTTCCTGTCGCACAATCCCCAGGTAGCAGCCTGGCCACCTCCTTCCCCCCGACCCCCTGCCAGCTAAGTGTAGACAGACGCCCGCCCACTCGCTATGGGCCTCATTCCGTATCCCAGAGGGAGTGCAGCTGTGCACACACAATGCGTGTGCAGTCGGCATGACTGCGTGCACAAGTCAGGGACTGCCCGCACAAATGACTGCTCCGGACGATTTGCACACACTGCTGGTGGTCCACACATGGCGTGTGACTTAATGGCAGAGCCAGGGATAGCCCTCAGGAGTTTGTGGCTCAGGAGTCCATGATCCATCTGCTGGACTCTGACCACTGATGAACTAAAATGTCAGTTTCTGACCTCACTGATATTTTTCTCTTCCCCCATCTATCTAGGTGCTTATCTGGCCCCCAGCACTAGAATATCTGAGATCCTCACATTCTTGAATGCATTTATCCCTGGGAGACAGGGAGAGTCTATTACCCCATTGTACAGAGGGAAACTGAGGCACCAAAAGACTGCGTGACTTGCCCAAGGTCACACAGGAAGCCTAGTGGAGCAGGGAATTGAACCTGGATCTCCCAAGTCTTGGGCCAGGGCCCTAACCACTGGACTATCCTTCCTACATCCCCATCTGCCTCCTGCCAAGTCGTTCTGTACAGAATCTGAGACCTCCTGTTTCCTGCCCTCCCTCACGCTGCCCCGTTCTTTGCTCTTCCTTTCAGCCAGAATACACCTGGCGCCCACCTTGTGCTGTGTCCAGGGCCCAGAACTCCCAAGCAGTGGAGGGAGTGAAACCGCTGCCCAAGGAATCCGGTAAGGAAACGCTGCTCTCACACGCCAGGGGTTACTTTCCTTCTGCTGAGAGTGGCGCTGCGTGAGAACCCTGGACAGCTGCCGTTCGTGTTGCGGCTCAGATGGGCACTGAGTACTGCAGTGCATTGAAGCAATGGGCTTGCCCCGTCAAATCCCATCTGTCACCAGCTTGGCATTGGTTTGCCCATGTCCCAGACCTGCTGCACGAGGAGGATCTGGGGGCTGGAGTGGACCAGACCGAGGCGCTTTGGGAGAGTGCGTGTGGGGAAGCTTGCACGCTACTCCCTTGCCCTCAGCCCCAGGAGCATGGAAACACCTGTCTCGAAGCTGAGAGTAAAGTTAACTAAAGCCTGAGATGGCCCCTGACCGCCCTCTGGCCCAGCACGTGGGAATACCATGGGATGCTGCTGTGATCTGTTTAAACTGGCTCTAAATAGCTTGTGTGCCAGGAGACCGGAGCGCTACTTACGCAATGTGGGTGTGCTTTCTGTCTTTCAGAACCTGCAGGGCTTGGGTTACCAAAAAAACAAAGGCCGGTTTAGCTGTGGGCCAATGTCAGAAGAAGAGGGGGCGGGGAGTGTGCGCGCCTGAGTGTCTCTAGACCCTGCCTCCTGCTAGTTATCCCTGTTCACACACTGTGTATGTAACAGCAGATCCTTGACGGGCTGGGATGTCTCCCTCCGGAGCTGCTGAAGAGAGAACGCCCCGTGCCCTGCGGAGTTGCTGAGGAGCAAGTCGCGTGGGTTCTTCCTTGGAATCCCGGCCTACAGGGGTTGTGCAAATGGCCACGTGTGGTGATCTTGTTCCTAGCCATGTCGCTTGGGTTTTAATTTGATTCCCAGCCTTGCATTCTGCAGCAGCACCTGCTGGGAGCCTCCCATTTCCTATGTTTCAACAGAGCCTTCGGTGGAGGATTTTGCTGCAGCCTGGTTTTGTATTTTAACGTGTATTTGCTGGCTGACCCCAGAGACTTTCCCCGTCAAATAGTGTAGGTGGGAGAGCCGCCCCATACAATCCCATGACGAGCAGAGAGGCCAGCTGAACAGATGTCTGATACCCTGGATAGATGGGTGGGGGAAGAGGGTTTAATTGTTTGTTGTTCTTTTCATAGTTAAAAAGAAGCCAAGCTGAAGCTAAACTGAATCCATTGGTTCATGTCCTTTACCTGTGAACACTCTCTAGGACTAAAGTGAGCGCTCTGGCTTGAATGGCTTTTAAAGTGTCCCGAGTCCAGGGGCCAAATGTAAATGTGTCTCGACGCTCCATTGAAACTCGGGCGTGTAGCGCTTGCCCCATGTAGATACTGCCCAGCCCTCTGTACATACATATACATACACACTCGCTGTCTATAGAAGATGTGGCAACCCTCATTCTCTTATTAGATTGACCTCACAGTCCAGTCTCTGAGTGATCAGGGAGCCACAGGCCTATGGTGTGCAATAACTCTGCCTTTATTGCTCCCAGGGAGCAGGCTGTGAACTCTACCCCTCTTCTCCCACATCCCCAAAGCAGAGCTAACGAGCCGCCTTTCAGTAACGAGTTAAGATTTTAGGGCCTGATTCAGCAAATTACTTTAAGCACATGTCTAACATCAGGCGTGCTTTGAAGTCCGTGGGACCTCTCACCTGCTCAAAGGCAAGTGTGTGCTTAACTACCTTGCTGACCTGGGGACCCGAGGAAGAGAGGAAAACCTGATGGAAGCAGCAAACAATAGACAAGTTCATTCATGGGCCCAGGCAGACCTCTTCTACTCCGTCCTGTTCTATCCCACTGCAATGTGCCCCTGGGCTTGCCCTGCCCGGGGTAGCTGTTGCGAAGTGCTGGGGTATGCTGAACAGGAGGCGCTGAGTACTTGCTGTTTAGTACTGATAGTGGCTTTGAAGGGGTGACGGGTCTTCCAAAGAAAAAAATGACAATGAAACAAGGTCTGAGGACAGGAAAGGAATGGCTGGGGTTCCGATCCCTCGGCCTCCCTGAAGAGGCGAACGTGTCTGTTCTTATGCGTGCGTATTGTGTGTGCAGTGTATTGTTGTCTGTAATTAATCTGCTGTATGTTAATGTTGACACGCAAATGGTAATGTGTACTTTGGGGGGCTCTCGCCCCTCCTTTCTTGTGGATGTCACTTCCCCTGGTTCCTCTAATTCCCTGTTAGCTGCATGGGCTAGTTCTGGGGAACAGTGGACAGATCTCTGTCGTTCTCTATACTGTAGAACGATAACTTGAAGGGAAGGGGAGAAGAGGAGCTTTTCACCCCATCTTCTCTGCAGAGAAAACACCCAGCTCATTGTCCCCCACCTTTTCCTCCCCTACTCCATCTGCTTGGGTTTCCTTTCTGGGATGTGAATGGACTCCGGTCCCCTCCAGATGCTAACAGTCCCTGGAAAGGGACTAACCCCATCAGAGGGAGGTGCTGTGGGTCGTCGTAACCCTGGACAATTGTAGGACATAGGGGGGTAAATTCAGGAAGTGAGCAGTATGATGGAGCACCCTCAGCTCCCTAAAACACTCGCGCTTCATTAGCCCAAAGCTGGGGCCATTAACTTGACTGTTGTCTGTGATCACATGGCACCCGTGTCCCCAAGAACCCATATCTGGCCATCGCTGGCATGTGCCTGAGGGTTTCAGACTGTCAATCTAACAGCGCTGTATTTAGTGAGCTGGCCTCTGTCTGGTTCATAGGAGCGGCCCCATGGGCTTCCCAGGCACTGTTCACATGTGCAAAGCAAGCGGATTTGGCCACGGGTGTGTGAAGACAAGGCTACCCATGTAACCCAGGCTAATAGAAGCGGTTCCTTGTCCGCTTCTAGTGGCTGGTCCATATGGAGAGATTTGAGTCTGCTTCTGCCTCCGAACTAATGGACCTGCTCTTCTGGCTCAAAATCTGTCCTGCCTGCCCCAGACCAGAGGGAGAATAACAAAACCCAGCTCTGGAGGCTGTACTATTCCCATGGATCCGGCCCTATAGCAAAAGGGACACCCACCCTGCTTACAGTGAGTGAAGCCTGTAACTAGCATACGCGTGTGTAAAACGCTCCATGATTTGATCTGCCCTGACATCAGTCACTCAGCTCTGTGCGTCCCCCTGGGTCCTGCTGGCTTCCTGTGACTGTCCAGTTCTGCACCCACCGCCCCGTGTCTGGGTTTTTTTTCAGTGTGGCTCCTAAACAACCCAGCCTCTCGTTCCTTTGCTCTGGTTGCTCCCTGTTCCTTCAGTTCCCTGTTCACGTGGGTTAAATCCCGTTCCTTACAGCTCTGGATCTAGGCCTGGATTCATGTCAGTCTTGTATGCGAAAAGCCAACCTTGCTCCAGATGAAAACTAATCTGAAGAGTGACGTCCCCATAGGGGTCTGCCCTGGGGCACTGGAATCCACCATTCAATGTCTAGCTCTAGCTCTGGGCTGCCTTTCTAGCCGATGGCTCTGTTTACACTACGCACAGTGACCCGCGTTGTTATTGCAGCTGAAAAGGGGTGAGGGGGCTAGTTTTTCTTACCCCAATCCCCATGGGTTCCCCACATGGAGAAGACCATTTCCATGTAATTGGGATGTTTCGCCATCCATTTTGCCCACACGTTTTGACATGCTAATGTTTTAAACTGATACAAATCCAGCCACTCAGCCTAGGTTTTGAAATGGACCCCGTATAGCAAATATCCTGGAAAACAATACCCCTCCATTCCCCCAGGGGGCAACCGTCTACCCCAGAGACGCATGTACAAATCTCTGACACGGGTTGCTTGATTGGTTGGTTTCTGTGCAGAAAAATTATTATGAATTGTAACGATAACTATTCCTTTGCAATACTCCTTAATAAACTATCTGGAGATTTTCCACCCCTGGCATTGTCCACTGTGGGTTTGCTTTGTCTCCTTGTGTTCTCAGACAGCGGCGCTGCCTAGCAAAGGGTTCCCGTCTTTGAGCGAAAACAGAGCGTTAGGCTGGCGTCCTAAACTGAATAGCCGGCAGAGTTTTGCTCTTGATCACAGCGCTTCTTAACTAGCGATTGCCAAGCTTCCCCGGCCAGAAACGACTCCCTCACCCCCTACACGCGTATCATCTGCTACTGCAGGGAGCTGATTGGGGTGCCTGTCTTCCCACTGTGCGTAGGGAATTCAGATGGGGAGTGAGGGGGGGTGCTTTTGCATGAGCAGATAATGGCTTGAGAGGACGGGGGGGCTTCCTTTTTTGGGAGCAGAGCTTTCCATGTTGCTCTGGGCCTGGCACCTCCCCCAAACCTGCTCCTAGCCGTACAGGTGGAGATGGAAGAGCAAGGCACAACGTCACCCCAGTCCCCTCAGCCAGTATCTGTCCCAGGGTGGACACAGCCCCACTCCACCTAGGGCTGCCTGTAGGGACACCCAAGCGCTTCCCCAGCCTCAGTGCTTCTTGTGGTGATCACCAGTCCAGCGGGTGGCTTAGATTGAAACAGGAGAGGGAGGGAACTCTCCCTGCACCAGCCCACGAGAAGGAGGGGCCAGTGGTTGGGGTGATTCCGGGACTCTGCCGTAGACTTCCTGTGGGACCTTGAGCAAGTCACTTAGTGTCTCTGTGCCCCATCTGTGAAATGGGGATAAGAGCACCTGTACTGAGGGCAAGTCCATTAAAGACTGAGGCACTCGGGTACTCAGTGATGGGGGGGCCACAGAAGCACATATGGCAGGGAAAGGGCTGCTGCGCCCCTGAGTCCAGGAGAAGAGGGGAGTTGTGCTTGAACCCTGCCCAAATGTGAGGTCAGAGCCATCTGATTGGGGCATCTCTGGACCCAGTGTGGGGCCTGCCCCTATCTGCTCTGCCAGCTGGTGTGGGGCATGGGTGGGTTCGGCCCCATGGCTGAGGAAGGAGAGTCCTTTGATGCTGTGGCCGGAGCGTTTGTGATAAACAGGAAGAGGCAGGTTGGACGTCAGGTGCTGTGAGACAGACACACCCTCACTCCCTGGGAGGCTGAGGGCATTGCCACCACCGAGCTCTCAGCCCAAGCCAGCTGGTCCCCTGTTGCTGTCACAGGTAGGGTGAGGACCCCAGGGCCCTGGGTCCCCTGGCAGTTGCAGTGTCTGAAGGGCCCTTGTCTATGGGCTCATCTGGGTAATGTCTCATGCCTGGGATGACAGGAGTTGGCGTTGGAGCCCAGGCGAGAAGGAGATGATGGAGCCAAGAGCTGGGGCCCGGCAGGATCAAGTGCCAGATGGACTCGCTGGCTCATGCCCTTGTCTCTTGGCTGAGAGGAAACCCCCCAAAACTCCTTAAAAACCAAGCGCCCCCTTGCATGTTTGCACAGGTGTTTATTTTGCATTTCTACAGCTCTACACAGGCTGCGGGCGTGGGAGGAGAAGCTGGGTTCCTGGGAGAGAGAGGAGAGCACATCCCTGCACAGGAAACGGTAGAGCAGCTTGAATGCACTGGAAGGGCCGCTCTACGCCCATGCAGGCTTGGGACAGATCCACCCTTTGGGGGCTTGCAGACCTAACCGTCATGGTGATGCATTCTCCTAGCACCCAGAGCCCATGCCCTGCTCTCACAGACGCCCGAGATTACACACTAAGCCACAGCTAGAAAGAACTCACCCTCTAGGGAGATCAGGGCTGCAGGAGAGATTCCAAGGGGCACGTTCCAGGTGTGGAAGGCTTTGTGGGGAGGGGTGGGACCATGCACATTATCCAAGCCCATCCGTCTCCGAGGGCTCTCCTACCAGGTCAGGGACAAGAGCAGGAGCAGCCCAATTTACGGGGATGGCAATGGCAAATATACAGCGAGATCGGTTCTAAGGGAGGAGGGCTGGACTGCTAAATAAATAGTGATGAGTGGTTTTCAGCGGGAGTCTATTCCTGAGGGAGCAGCGGAGAGGGCCGGTCCCTGTACTTGCAAAGGGTCTTTCCCCTCCCCTGAGATTTCCCCTGTCCGTGTTTCTCTAGGAAGTGGGAAGCTTGGCTAATAATGAATCTCTCCAGAATGGAGCGGGTGGCAGTGGAGAAGGGCAGGTTAAGGATGGCAGACAGGTCTGATGGCTGCAGCGTGGGGAGGTGACGCCACATGGAGATGGGTGACTGGTGTAAAACAAATGTCATTTTAGGCAACTGTGTTTCCCCAAAACGTGTTGCAGGACTGGTCTATAGGGAGTGGCGGTCAGGGCCGGTCTCTACAGAGTAGCACGAGTGTGCGTGCAAACTAGTCTGTAGATACTGGTGTCTTTCCTAGCAGATTCCACCCGTATTGGTGTCATAGCAGAAGGGATTTTTGTATCCAGGGATTCAGCTCTTTGGATGCATTGCATGGAGATTTTTGGCTGTGGATAAAGCATTGAGTCCCACCCCCCCCTCCACCCCACCGCTGACATCTCTACATTAGTCTTCTCTGACCAGGGGCAGCCTCCTCTGACCAAAGACCCGCCGCTTCATGTAATCTATGATGTCATTCTTCACCACGGCCAAGTTTGTCCTGGGGCCCCACCTCATCACGGGCCGCCCAGTCGGGCCAACCAAGAACTTCTCGAAGTTCCACTTGATGTCGTGGATCTTCAGGGGCTCCCAGAAGAGCCTTTTGGGGTCGCCGAAGCTTTCCACCACGGGAGGGCAGGAGTTCTGCAAGGAGAGGGAAGGACGAGCATCAATGACACTGTGGGCTGGGGAAAGCTATCCTGCCCTCACCTACTGCTCCCCAAACCTGGTCTCGGGAGAGGGCGTTTGGAGGCACGCACCTTCAGGAAGGTGTAGAACTTCTGCTCCTCCTCCCCGTTCACATCCCCTTTTTGAAAAAGCTGGAAATTCGGGACAAAGCCGCCCCCGGGCCGGACGTATCTGAAATCAAAGGGAGAGAAGAGTCAGGTTCCGGTTCAAAGGAACATAAGAACGGCCATACTGGGTCAGACCAAAGGTCCATCCAGCCTAGTATCCTGTCTGCCGACAGCGGCCAATGGCAGGTGCCCCAGAGGGAGTGAGCCTAACAGGTAATGATCAAGTGATCTCTCTCCTGCCATCCATCTCCATCCTCTGACAAACAGAGGCTAGGGACACCATTCCTTACCCGTCCTGGCTAATAGCCATTAATGAACTTAACCTCCATGAATTTATCCAGTTCTCTTTTAAATCCTGTTATAGTCCTAGCCTTCGAAACCTCCTCAGGCAAGGAGTTCCACAGGCCCATCTTCACCTGGCATGGAGCCAGTGATGAAACTGCTGCTCCTGCCCATACACGCTGCCCGGCCGGCGGACGCCAGGCCTAACCCATGTTCTAGACACTGCAGGGACCTGGTCAACAACCAGGCTTGTAAACTGTTTTCTAAATGGTTACTGGTCTACACGCCCAGGCGGGCTGTGTGGGCTGGAACCATTTTTAAATCATTCCCGTGTACTGTTACGCTGATGCTGCTTCAGTTGCTGGCATGATGGGGCCTCGGCCTCCCTTCCCCTACGTCACAAGCAGCAGGGAGGAGCCTGGGCCTGGGGGATGCAGCCTGCAGGGTCAGCACACACACATCAGATCGCAGCAACTGCATCCGAAGGACGGGACCCAGAACCACCTGCTTAGTGGCTGGGGCCAAGCAGGAATTGTCCTTGTGCATTCCTGCCACACACTGTGCTGGGCTTGGTTCAACACTGATCTACACTCCCGAACCCCTGTCAGATACTGTGCGGAACGGCTGGCTGTAATTACCCTTGGGCTTAGCGTGGGTTCAGAGTCGCAATAGGGAATCTGTGCCAGTCTTGTGACTGATCTCCGGTGTATCCACTTGACTAGGCACTGCCCGTTTCCCCCCTCTTCCAGCCCAGGTGGCAGCCAGGGCATTTAGAGGAGAGAACGCCGAGCAGCCACCCTGCCCCCGCCCCCGCAAGGGATCTCAGGCCCCTGCGTCACTCAGCTGTTGACTCACTTCAGCGCGGGGAGGATTTCGGCGTTGTCGCCAGGTTCTTGTTTGCCAAATTGGTTGCTGGGGAAGGCCAGGATGACGAGTCCGTGCGGCGCCAGCTCTTTCTGTAGTGCATTCAATTCTGCGCACAAGAAAACCCCACCAGGGACGGGTTAGTCACAGCGATCGATGGGAGCTGCTCCCCCGGTGGCTGAGCCGCACGCGGCGTCACCAAGCAGCCGGTTAGCGTTCGAGATGGCACAGGGGAGGCGGGAGAGGGCTCCAGTTCTGTGCTTCTCCCAGGACTCCAAGGCCAGGATCAGACCCCGGGGCAGAAGTCCTGGCATTCTCCTTCAGCAGGAGTGAGCTCTACGCCATCGCATCAGCCTCCCCTCAGTCTTCCTAGCTGCAGCATGGGTCTCCTGGGACTTGGGCCCCGTCTGCGCTTAAATCCCTCTCTCTCCCTGTCTCTGTTACAGCGTTGTGGCAAAGGGGAAATCGCTGGCGCTCAGGCATGCCCTGGCCATCCCTCCTCCGCTCCATCTGCCCCCGAACACCCCTGACCTGACCCCTGCACCAGCAGCGGCTTTACACTCGCTCAGTGAGGTTCCCCCCCCCCATTGCCACATTCTCTTTCACTTCACAACTTTCCTTTTCTCTTTGGCCTATGCCAGGGTCCCCCCCGCCCCCAGTGTCCTGAGGTGCACAGAGGTGGCTATCCCAGACTCCAGCACAATCTCCTCCTTCCTCCGGGCAGGGGATCTTACCCAGGTACTGCATGGTGAGTCCTCAGTAGGTAGCCACGTTCACAAAGAGGATCATCTTCCCTTTGTACTTCCCGAAGGGGATATACTCCTGTCCGTCTATGGTGAGGGCCCCATACTTGTAGATTGTTCCCTCCACCGAGTTGTAACAGTCCACCTGGAAAACAGCCAGGCAGAGCACGTGGGAAGGGGCAGGGCTGGAGAGGGGCAAGCAACAAGGTCTGATGACCAGCGATTAACTAGCTTCTTTGGGTTTTACTGTTTCCTGAGGAGCTCCAGAGCCCCCAGTTCCTCTCCTGGCTTCCCCTTCACCCGCTCTGCCCGGCGGGGGCCAAGGCACACTGCTGGGATCCTCCGGTGTGGCTGGGTTTGGTTCGGCTCAGGCGAGGATGGAGACAGCTGTGAGGTTCTGATCTGCTTTTAGAGTCTCAATCCAGTCCCCACCACCAACCACGGGGAGGTTTGGATCCAGGGATGATCTACTTCAATCCTTCCTCTTCCTTTCCTCCCAGTCCTTCTCGCCTCCTCCTCGACCCCTGCCATCCTGCCTTCACTGCCACCCTTCCCTTCATCTCCTCCACCTCCTCACTGGCCCCACAACCGTTATTTCATTCCTCCGCTTCCCTTCTCCTTAGCTCTGCTTCTGTCCTCAGCCTCCTTTCCCCCCTTCTTCTCTTCGTTCACATGCTCCCTTAGCCCCTGTCCCCTCCAGCCAGCTTCCACCCCTCTCTTCCGAGGAATCTGCAGAGGGGCAACATCCAGTTTAGGGAGGGGAAGGGGCCCAGTGGGACACCATCCCCTGCCCCAGAAAAGGGCTTTGCGATTCCATGCCATTTGGTGCATTCCCCGAGAGAGCAACGTTCAGGTGACCCACCGGGAAGTGTGCGTTCCAGACTCCCACCTGCGCTCCTCCCCAGAGCTGGGGCAGCCCCCTGGCACTCCCTGGTGTGTTGCCCAAGACGGCGGTTGTCACATGGGAAGCTGGGTTAGCCACATGCAGAGAGGGCGATACGTTCTACTGGCAAGAGGAAAATCTTTTCCATGGTTCCCCCTGTTTGAACGCTGCCCTCCTCTTTCATTACACCCCTGCTCGCTGCAAACAGGCCTGGCTTATCGAGGCACGAAGGAGCACGCAGGGGCGCTCTCGGGAGTTAAGCCCTAGTTTACGTTCTCCTTTGCGTTCTAACCGACCCATGGGCGTGCCTCTCCCATTCTGGCTCTGCTAAGGGGTTGGATTCATAGGTGCTGGAATTAGGGGGGCTGCCGCACCCCCTGGCTTGAAGTGGTTTCCATCATATGCAGGGTTTACAGTTTGGGTCAATGGTTCTCAGCACCCCCACTATACACATTGTTCCAGCCCCCCCGTTAGGATTTGTCTCTGGCAGCCTTGGCTGGGCTCCGTGGATCGCCTGGTCAGGGTTTCTCACACAGACTCTTCCCAGACCAAATGGCAGCCAATGCTGGGCTCTCGCACGGTGTGCTCATCCCACTGAGTCTCAGAAATCGTGTTTGACACGCACCGGCCTCCCACCCAGCGCCTCTGACTTTCCAGGGCTGCAGCTGCTAGCATGTTTACTCCACCCAAGCAGCAGCCACAGAACCACAGGTGGGGAGGGAAAGGACCAAAAATAGCCACAGTGTGTCAACAGCGAAGAAGAAACCCTGCGCCTCTTTCTACTGCTGCTCGCTCCTGCGCAGGGAGAGGTGCTGACCCGCTCACGCTGCCCCATCCTGTACATGTGAGAAGGGCCAGGGGAAGATTGCTCCGTAGAAGGATTGCTGATTTACAGTGGCTTGTTACTCCTCACTGCCCGGCTCCTGGCTGAGTGTCTGTCACCTAGAAACAGGCTGTTACTAGGATCCCACTCAGCCATGTGTGTCAGGCGGAGCCGCTGGCTCAGAGAGTGGGGAGCCAAAGTGTGCCCCAAGGTGGCCCAGGCTCCCTGTTCACCAGGACAGATTTAGAGAGACACGGAGAGGGGAAGGGACCTTTCTCATCAGGACGAGAAACAAAAGCAAGTCTAGCTGCTCACCTGGCAGGGGACGGGCCCTGGCATGAGAGATTGCCTGCCCCTGTCCCTACAGCCCCCAAGAGTGTCTCAGGGAGGAAAACCTGCTCCTGCAGACTCTAGGATCGAAATGCCAAGCACACAGCTGGGTTCCAATTCTTCTTGTGTAAGCACAAAGTGCCTAGCCCTTCAGGCTGTGAAGGAAACCTTCCCGCAGTGACCTGAGGGTAACCAGTGCAGAATGGATTCCCTGAGTCTGAAACAGCAGCTCCGGGCGGGGTGAATGCCCATTCACCTCAACTAGTGTTAACTCTTAAGCCTAATGATTATGCGCCAAGACCCCAGGTTTTTCCAATAAGTTGAGTCTTGCAAATGTGTGTCTAGTTTATACAATCACAGCAACCTTGGGTAACTACCCATGCCAATGGCCAAGCCGACAAAGAGCTCAGATTCATAGATTCCAAGGTCAGAAGGGACCATTGCGATCATCTAATCTGACCTTCTCCAATGATTAATGACTCTCGCTGTTTAAAATGTACATCTTATTTCCAGTCTGAATTGGTCTAGCTTCAACTTCCATCTGCTGGGTAGTGATATCCCTTTCTCCGCTAGATTGAAGAGCCCATTATTAAATATTTGTAGATGCTTCTAGATGGTAATCAAGTCACCCCTTAACCTTCTCTTTGTTAAGCTAAAGAGATTGAGCTCTTTGAGTCCATCACCATAAGGCAGGTTTTCTGACCTCTTAGTCATTCTCGTGGCACTTCTCTGAACCCTCTCCAATTTGTCACCATCCTTCTTGAATTGTGGACACCGGAACTGGACACAGAATTCCAGCAGCAGTCGCACCAATGCCACATGCAGAGGTAAAACCACCTCTCTACCACTCAAGTTTCCCCTTTTTATGCATCCGAGGATTGCATTAGCCCTTTTGCCCAAAGCTCATGTTCAGCTGATTATCCACCAAGACCCCCAAATCTTTTCCAGACTCACTGCTTCCCAGGATAGAGTCCCCTATCCTGTAAGTGTGGCCGACATTCTTTGTTCCTAGATGGATACATTTACATTGGAAATTTCCACCACATGCGTCTGACGAAGTGGGCATTCACCCACGAAAGCTTATGCTCCAATACATCTGTTAGTCTATAAGGTGCCACAGGACTCTTTGTCGCTTTTTACAGATCCAGACTAACACGGCTACCCCTCTGATAATTTACATTTAGCCATATTAAAATGCTTGTGCCCTGTTCACCAAGCGATCCAACTTACTCTGAATCAGTGACCTGTCCCCTTCATTATTTACCACTCCCCCAATTTTTCTGTCATCTGCAAACTTTTATCAGTGATGATTTTATGTTTTCTGCCAGACCTTGATAAAAATGTTAAATAGTGCAGGGCCAAGAACTGGTCCCTGTGGGACACCACTAGAAACACACCCATTTGATTAGGATTCTCTGTTTACTGTTACATTTTGAGACGTGTTAGCCAGCTTTTAATCCATTTAATGTATGCCATGTTAATTTTATATCTTTCTGGTGTTTTTAATCAAAATGCCATGTGGTACCAAGGCAAATGGCTTACAGAAGACTAAGTATATTGCGTCAACACTATTACCTTTATCAAACAAAACTGTAATCACATTTTTAAAAATCCAGTTTGTCTGATAGGGTCTGTTCTCCATAAACCCATGCTGAGTTGCATTAATTAGATTACCCTCCTTTAAGTCTTATTAATCAAAGCCCTTAACAGCTGCGCTTGTTTGGGATCTATGTCAGACTGACAGGCCTATAATTACCCAGATCATCCCATTTCCCCTCTTTAAATATTGGCACATTAGCTTTCTTCCAATATTCTGGAACTTTCCCAGTGTTCCAAGTCTTTTTAAAAATCAGCGTTAACAGTCCAGCAAGCTTTTCAGCCAGCTCTTTTAAAACTCTTGGGTGAAAGTTATCCGGAGGTGCTGACTTAAAAATGTCTAACTCTAGTCGCTGCTATTTAACATCCTCCTGAGAGACTAGTGGAATAGAAAAAATGTTATCATAAAATATGACTACATCATTTGTTTTTTTCCCCAAACACAGAACAGAAACATTTATTAAACACTTTTGCCTTGTCTGAGTAATTGTTGATAATTCTACCATTTCCATCTAGTAATGGACCAATACCATTGTCAGGATTCTTTTTGTTCCTAACATACTTTAAAAACTCCTTACTGTCCTTCACTCGGCTGGCCATAAATTTCATCTTGTGTCTCTTTGCTTCCCTTATCGATTTTCTACAATTCCTAGCTTCTGATTTATATTCATTACTATCCACTTCCCCTTTCCTCCATTTGTTATATATTTTATTATTTTTTAGAGCTGCCTTTACTTCCCCTCTACATCAGAGAAGAAGTGAAGAAATAGTCATGGGTCTAAAACCTTCCAAGGTTTGGGGGTTTTGTACGTATAACCCCAACTCTGAACTCCCTGAGTTCTTAAGTTGTTTGCTCAGGTGGCATTTTGTTTCACTTTCATGTTCTCAGAAGGCAAGATGCACTCAAAGCGCTGATATGTGCCAGCTTAACGTCGGTGAACGCGGTTTATATAACTGTAATGTGACTGCTATTTGCTATGCTCCTCACAACCACCTCACTGTTGCAGCCCCTGTCTGTCAGATCCATCTGTTGCCTCTCACCATCGTCTCAGAATGCGAGTTCTTTTGGTGGGAGGACCACTATTTCATTATATGTCTGTACAGCCCCTAGCACAGCAGGGGCCCTGATTCCTGACGGGGGTTCGACATGCTACCTCGGTCTTTGCAGGAGCCCCTACAGAAGGTGTAAGGGAGACTAAGGATTGCTGCACTAATTGTATCTAATTATCTCATGCAGACTGGCATGCATTTCCCCCATGTCCAGCACTGGGTGTCAGCGTGCCTGTCTCTCACACTTCATTACCCTGCAACCCTTCCTCCTGACACCCTGGGGCATCTAGAATTATCTCCCCTGCCATCTCCCTGCCATCCTCTGCCAGCAGGAAGGCAAGGCAGCCTCCACGCACAGGCGGACACACAAAACAGGGTTAACAGACTGGAAGCCAAACATTTGTAGCTTTCCCCCTTTCCACCCAGCGCCTCTGATTCAGTCCAAGACGCCCCCACTCCGGGCTTGTGACATCACACTCACTTCCCAGGCGACGGATGGGTGACGCAGAGCAGCAGCCTAGGAATTATGCAGCATTCAACTCTCACGCAAGCCCGGTTTTGGGAGCTGATAGCCCTGCCAGAGACAAGCATCCAGGGGGGCAGGCTCAGCTCGCCTTCCCCATGGAGCTCTGCCAATGCAACTCAAGTCCTAGGCCTGCGCCCTAATCACTGGGCCCTCCTGCCTCCTTGGGCACCTCCCACAGCTCTTCTGATGCCCCTCACTCCGGCCCTACCACCCTCTGCTCCCCGCTAGTCCAGTCCTGGCGTTGGCCTGCGTAGAGCTTGCCAGTCACATTGACCCGTGTGCTGGCTTCGTGACGTGGCCTGTTAGAGATCAAGCGGAGAGCCACCAAACTTGTTCCCAGTGTAACTCGAACCGTGTTTCTAAGCCAGGATCCCTGCTCACCGAGACAATGACACTGATTAGATGTTTTCCTCTTCCTCTAAGATCCCCAGGCAGCCAGGCTCCGTGGAATAATCGTTCCCAGGGGCCCCAGGACTCTGCACATGCCAAAAGGAAGATTCACCCTGATAGCTGAAATGGGGGAGCTGCCACAGTGGTAGGTGGGGTGCAGTGAGGGAGCAGGGAGAAGAAAAGGCAGCGTCTGTGTCCCCTGCACTAACGCCGTGTATTTAAATGACTGAAACCCCGTTAGGCAGAAGGGAAAGAGGGAATCAGCTGAGAGAGGGAATGAGAAATTACCCCTTTCTCCCACCAGCAAATCAGTGCATTCCCCTTGTTTGCCTGCAGCCCCCCTGCCCAGATCCCAACACACCAGAACTTTGGGGCATTGAAACCCAGATCCAATTTGTGTCCATCTCTCCTGATGAGTGTAGGGGAGAGACCCCCAGACAGGGATGAAGGATGCCCCATGGGACGCAACAGCATCATGCCAAAGCACCGACCCTGCATGCACACTGTTCTCCGGTGGGTTTCCCCTTACCTTCTGTTTCTCCTGCCCCTGGTTAGGCTGAATTAACCCAGCCAAGAACAAGGGGAAAATCCAAGAGCCCCTGAGTCTGCCCCCCATGGCAGCTGTGGGGTGCCAACACCCTCTTCTTGCCCCACGGAGCACAGCAGCTGGGTGCCCGTGTCCGGCTGGGCTTCTCCGTCACTGTCCTCTTCCCCACACTGTGCCACCTTCGAGCACAACAGCAGGGAGAAATAAAAGGCTGAGCCTGAGTCCTCCGAACCAATCACAGTGAGGCGGGGATGGCAGGGCTGCTATCAGAGCTATTAACCGTGTGGGCCCTGGTGAGCTCCAGAGATGTTTGAGGGAGGGAGAAAGGGGATTGATTGCTTCAGCTAAGGGAGAATCTGGACTCAGATCAGGCGTCCCAACACCCCCATGGCTGGAGAGGTCTGGTTGCAGGGCTTTGGTTCGGCTTATAAAGCTAGGGCCCCCATATGAAATTCGGGCTGGGATCTAAGTGCAGCTTATGCTACTCTCCAAAACAGAGGGGAACGAAACCAAAGAGCATGGGGTGGAGGGGAAAGGAGATTAACCACGTACCTGACTGTTATGTAGCACACTACGGGCCTGGCTGCAGTGCAGCAGGACCTGAGCTCCTGGAGATTGGGATCAAAACAATGGAGAAATTCAAGGCTGTTATCTTGGCCCAGCCCGTGAGTCTCGCCCCTGGTGATCCCGCTGGACGTGTCCAAGTACAGCCACAGATCCATTGTATCTCACAAGATGGGTACGTTCGCATGGTAGTGTCAGCGGTTAAAGCACCCATTGGGAGCTCCCAAGGGTCGGCGTTAGGGTATAAAATAAAGGCAAATAATCCTGGGAAGGGTTAGAGAACAGCTGGCATTGGCCACTGTCGGAAGACAGGACACTGGGCTAGATGGACCTTTGGTCTGACCCAGTCTGGCCGTTCTTATGTACAACCGAATGGGAGAACCAAGGCATTCCAATTCCTGTTGCCCGGGGGAGCCCAGGGGAAATCCCTGCGGGGCGGTGGCAACTTTTTGGTCTCAATTCCCTGTGTTAGGGCCACTTGCTGCTGCTCCAGCTCTAAAACCAGCCAGAGCCCCTGGGACAGAGTGGCTCCTACACCCTCCCACCTCTCAGCTATTGATGTGGAGAGCTGGGGGGGGAAAGAGGGTGTGGCCAGGGCTCCCTGCACCTGTGCTGACCCCCAGCTGCTTGGCAGCCAGTGTAAATTAAAGCACTCCCCAGGCTGCTGCAGTTTACACAGGGAACTGGACAGGCAATGGAAGGTCCCAGCATCAAGGGAGTGCCCACAGTACCTCTGCGCTGTCCTCTGCTCGGGGCACCCAGAGCCACAGCTGCCAGCACCGTCACAGGCACGGTGATGGCCCAGCTCCCACCCTAGAGTCACACACAGGCTGCTACTGCTCTGAGTGGGGAGGGGGATCCTAGTAACCCTAGCAAGCCCCATTAAGCCCTAACAGAGGCCATGCCAGGCCGACACTGACTGACTAACTGTGTGCTTTCATCTTGGTCCACAGCCTGCTGTTCTGGGGCTGCCCATCCATGACAGCTCCTGGTTCTCTCCAGCTGACGGCTGGCCCCTGCCCTCTGCTAAGCAGAGACTCCTTGTCCCCTAGCCCTTCGCAGCCTGCTTTCCACTCCCCATCCCTGAGTTTTCAGCTGCCTCTGGGAACGCTGGGATTATTAATGAAGTGCCTGTCAAAGCTGGGCTGCTCTGTTTACACACAGGGTTCCTGCTGGATTGCGGTGTGGCTAGAGAACGCAATCCAGCGAGCACGGGCCTGGGAACAACCCCACCCTTGTTTACTTCTGAGCGGAGAAGAGCAGAAGCAGGGTGGGTGGGATCGTCCCTGGAGGGCTGGTTGCGTTTGGGTTTTGCCGACTGAGAGCAGGGGGCGTCTGGAGACCGGGGTCTGAAACCCCAGGGTTCGGGGGAGATTGTAGAAATGGCTCCGGCTTGGGGCTCCTTTCCATTTTGGGGGGGGGCTGGGGTTTTCATAGGAGGGACGTGGTTCCACTGCTCATCTGTGTCTCTGTCATCAGGCCACGAGGTCACTCGGATCAGACCCCCTATGCTGACATGTAGCCCAGTCCCCATGTCTCCACTACGCTTTCAGCCCCTGCAGTGACTCAGGCAAGCAACCCCGCTGTTCTCCACCCAGCTCTTTGCCTTGCCTTCCAGCCCCCAGCCCCTTTGTACTGCTTCCTGAGCCCGCTCAACTCTGAACTCCCGTCTGCTGTGGGGCTCACAGCCCCCTCCCCACCGAGAGGTCAGGAAAGAGGCCATCCGGCCACTCAGAGACCAGAAAGCCTGATTAGCAGCTGGAACCCATTAGGGCCCCTATAAAGGCTGCCTCTCAGCAGAGCAGAGGCTGGTGGGTGGGGCCTCAGGAGCAGGTGCTCTGATGGGGGCAGCTGGGGTTAGACTCCTTTCTAGGGAGGAGTTGTGGTTCTAGGACTGGCTAATGCAGGCTGGGGTGGGGATCAGGAATTCCTTCATGCTGGGCTGCCACAAGGCTTGCCCTGGGAGCCTCAGGGCATGAGGAGCTGCTCTCTAGGGAGCTTTGGCAAACATGCAAACCTTGAACTGGACCTCCCAGCCCCCCAAGAATACACTCCTTCGCCTCCTCCACCCATGCCTCAGGGCATGGCTGGGAAAACAGAGAGAAGGGATCAAAGCGGCTAAGCAGGGAGGCGCAGAGCCAGGAGGGGTTCTGAAGGGGAGGACAATGACAAGGAGTTTGATGTGGTGGAAAATGGGGAGTCAGCGGAGGGAGGTGTCCTGGCCAGAGCGACGGGCAACCAAAATGCTCTTACAGCTGTTTTGTCCTGGATGGGGGAGGGGTGAGTGGGGGGCGGGGGTGGCCAAAGAGAAGGCTGCAGGAAGAGATGAGCAGGGGAGATCTCTGGAGGAGATTTGAGGTGTGTGAGGAGAAGGGCAGACTGGGGTTGAGAGATGCTCTCAACCGCGGCCCCATGCAGCTCCCAGAGCCACCAGGGTAAAAGCAGCAAGGTTTGCAACCAAGAGATGAGGTCATGACCTCTGGCCAAGCACAGCGCAAAGAAAGTCCCCTCTAGCCTCAGGTGCTCCCTGGACAGCCACAGGCAGCCAGGGACCCGAGTGCCCCCCAGTTTGGAGAAATCAAAATATTTACCTTGCATTGGGTCAAAGTTCAATAGGACTGGTGCCGAAGCAAATTCCCTACCAGCGTCCCTGCAGGGGAGTGGTGGAGAGCGGTTACTGAGTGAGGGGACATTCAGGGGTGCGATCCAAGCGAGTTCTTGGCCAGGTCACGTAGAACTGGGCAGTGACATGGGACAAAGGTCCCTGGGAGGCAGCGGACAGCAAACACTGGAGAGCAGCTCAGAATTGCAGGACATAAATGTGAATCCCTGAACTCACGAAAAACTAATAGCCCCGGGGTGGCTCCCTCTGCTAGGCCGGCTGTAGCTGTCTGGGCTACAGAGGAATATTCCCTGGTGGGATCCGTGTAGTTCAGGGAGGTGGGCTGAAGCTGCCAGAGAGGGGCAATAAAGATTTGGGATTTTCCTAAGCACTCAGCTTTGGCCTCACTTACGTATTTCCATAGCACCTAAGGGCCCTGGTCATGGGCCAGGACCCCAGTGTGCTAGGCACTATATGATGAGCATTTTTGAAAATGCCATCCCGAATGTTGGGCTCCAGCTGATGGCCCTCCCAGGGGCTTACCATAGCCCCACAGGGCCCATCTATGTTCAGCTGACACGGACAGTCCCAGGAAGAGACAGGAGCACTTGTTAATGTGCCTGAGAGTTTGCTGCCCTTTGGGACATGCTAAACTGGTTAAGCTTTAGTGTCTTTATCAGAAAACAAAATAGCCTTGTTCACTTAATTCCTACTGCGGGTGAAGATCTCGGGCCAGTGTGCTGCGGTGGACGAGGGTTATGCAAGCTGGGAATGGAGGGATTCTGGCTGGAGAAAGCAGTCTGTCAGCATCTCCGATTTCAGCCAAAGTGCCCTACGCTTCGGAGGATTACATAACTGGAGATAACAAGGAGCATCCCAGGTGCCTCTAGATGCTCATTCGGCAATGACTGCCACAGACCAATCCTGCCAACCTTTAGAAAGGGTAAACAGGGCCACCTGCATAATTATAGGCAGGTCGGCCTGACATTGATCCCAGGTAAAAGAATGGAACAGCTGATAAGGGACTTGATTAATAAAGAACTGAAGGAGGGTAACGTAATTAATGCCAATCAACATGGATTTATGGGAAATAGATCCTGTCAACCTAATTTGGTAACATTTTTGATGAGATGACAAGTTTGGCTGATAAAGGTAGAAATGCTGATGTAATATGCTTAGACGTCTGTCAGGCGTTGACTTGGTATTGTTCAACATTTTGATTAAGAACCTTGAACAGTACAAAATAAACATGGCATGCATTCAATGGATTCAAAACTGGCTAACTGATAGGTCTCAACATTTAACTGTAAATGGGGAATCATCATCGAGTGGATATTGTTTCTAGTGGGGTCTTGCAGGGACCACTTCTTGGCTCAATGCCATTTAACCCTTTTATCAATGACCTGCTGGAAGAAAACATAAAATCATCACTGATAAAGTTGGCTGCTGATACAAAGGTTGGGGGAGTTACTGATGGAGAGCAAACTGGATCGCTTGATAAGCTGGGCACAAGCCAACACTATCCATTTCAATATGGCCCAATGTAAAGGCGTACATTTAGGAAGAACGTACGTAGGCCGTACTTAAAGGATGGGGACTCTATCTTGGGAAACGGTGATTCTGAAAAAAAACGTTGGGGTCATGGTGGATAATCAGCTGATATGAGCTCCCAGTGCGACACCGTGGCTAAAGGAGCTAATGTGATCCTTGGGTGTTTATACAGGGGAATGTTGAGTATGAGAAGGAGGTTCTATCCCCTCTGTATTTGGCACTGGCGTGCGCGCCAATGGAATCCTGTGTCCGGTTCTGGTGTCCACAGCTCAAGAAGGATGTTGATACATTGGAGAGGGTTCCAAGAAGAGCCAGGAGAATGATCAAAGGGGCTGCTAGGAGTGGGCAATTGCCAAGGACAGCAGACATTGGCTAGCGCTACCCTGCCCCTGTGAGAAGGGAAGGGTGTCAGGCTCTCAGCAGAGAAAGTTTGCAGTGTGAATGCTTTTGAGGGAAGCCAGACACAGCAGGGGAGCTG